TCTGATGGGAATCTATTTGTTATTTTTCAGCTTCATGTATGCTAATTGATCCAAATGGCTATGTGGTTTACAGTAAACAGTTCATGTCCAGTCCCAGGTTTGTAGTTCTGGTTGGGTCTAAGGACATTCAATGTTTTCATGCTGGAGCACTCGAATTTTATCAGGCAACCATATTAACTTGAAAGGAAATTTTAGTCTATGATGATGTATCCTCACAACTTGATTCATTTTGAACTCTTTGCATGAATATGGCTTAATTTCGGAGCGAGTTGTGGTGTTGCCTCGACACTCACTCACCAACTCACCCACCCACCCACTCACCCACTTACCCACCCACCCACTCACCCACTCCTCACCCACCGACTAACTCACCCAATAACTCACCCACCCACTCACCCACTCATCCACTCACTCACCCACTCACCCACCCACTCACCTACTCATCCACCCACTCACCCACCCACTCACCCACCCACTCACCCACCCACTCACCCACTTACCCACTCACCCACTCACTCACCCACCCACTCACTCACTCCGTTGTGGACATTTACGTCACATTGAAATCCGCATATCGGAGCTAGAGGGTCCGTCAGGTTAGAAAACGCGAGGATGTTATTTTCCGTCACAGAGATAAGGACAATCAACATTACTCATTTTAAGAAACGTTTAAAGATAACTTCAATTTTTTGCTGGAGTGTTGCTATGTTTTAACACTTTCTTGAATTTATAGAGCTGCTAAAGAACGCGTCCATCTCGCCTTCAAACATCCAGAACTGCTGTTAGACATAAAGAAGAAAGGAATAATATCCACAAGTTTAGCTTGTAATGACTTGGAGGTAAATATCATGATATCACAACCTTCACATTAATTTTTGTCCGAGAGTGTCATACATGTCAAAGTAAGGACAGGGTGAACTAAAAAAATGATGGGAAGTCCTACAAACCTACAATGAACTAGTGTCTCAGTTAGGAATAGAAGTAATCTCTTTCTATTTTAAACGCATGAGGCAGTGTGTGTATCAGACGTGAGTAAATGAAGCTAGAGAGAAAACAGGGATTACATCTCTTCACTCATTCAGGCGAAAGGTCAGCAGTGAAATATCGTTTTTGATTGGTAAGGAATGAGTGTATAATGGAACCCGAGAAGTATGGAAAGATGCAAGGAATTTCATCCTAATAGCGATCGACAAGAGCGCAAAATTTTCCTAGACATTATGTTTAATGATAAGCTCTGTATTATATTTGTCTTTTCAGCTTGGCCAAACTTACACCAACTACAAGATAACTGACACACTTCCTGCGTGAGTATTTTGTTTACTATAAAAGGCTAATTTAATTGAAACATGGCGTGAACGAACACAGTGGTGGTGAGAGGGCTGCGGCACCCTCTGTGTAATGAAACCTCAGGGTATCCATTAGTATTTAAGGAAGAATCCGGGTACTACTACTCGGATACAAAAGTTTATGTAACCCGCCTGTCGTCATGTAGGACTCAAAGGAGTTCACCGCTAGTTTTAATCGTACATTCTAAGCATTGGTTTCTAGACAACAGGAATAAATAAGTTAAGTTATTTTTTTTTATCGCAACAGAAGTAAAATCGTGATGAAGTAAAATAATAGTTACGTATTCCTGTTGGTCTGACGATGCACTCACTTCCGATGTCGATTTCTTCTAAAATTACTTCATGATTTTGGTCTTTCTTGGTTTTTGTAAGATCTCATTCTCTTGCATTTCAGTGGTATTGTCCGAGGAAACTTGACATGTGGTTATTACATCATGGTAGCCGTACCGAACACAAATGTGTACCTCATTGTCCTTGATGGGGGAGACTGCCCGGACCCCGCTATTAAATGCACCTCGGTAAGTTTGCCCAACAATTGGGGATCCTGTTCCCCGCCTCCTTCCCTCTCACTCGAAAGAAACGATAGAAAGGAGAAAACAAGAGCGTTACATTCTAAAGTAAACAAATTAATTGAGTTGATCTAAAGATCAGTTTCAAGTGCAAGAAATAGTTTTTAAAATGCACCAACCAGTTGCAAAATTAGTTGAGTCATTCTGCATTTTCATTGTCAGAGTTCTCTATGTCCGAAATCTCGAAAAAATAACCCCTTCCCCGCTTCTTCCCCGCTTATCAACAATGCTAGCCAACCGATATCATCGATAATCTTGGACTGGGGAAATGTTGTCATGAGAAGCCAACAGAAAAGCTGGTTTGAACATGTTGGTATCTGGCTGTATCAGGCGTGTGAAAGATAAACTAACCAATCCATCAGACAACCTACAATAAAAACCTTTGGACTTATCAGTAATCTTTATTAAGTTGTTTATTTGACATTGAGGAAGGTGTGGTAATTTTTTTTCTGATATTTCGATGGGTGACTCTTCTCCTCTACCGTGAATCCAATTAATGCTTCCCTCCTCTTTGCATCGTTATAATGTCAGCCAGGTCCAGGTCAGGAGTTCACAGTTTGAAATAAGTCAGACTTTTCTCTGTCTCTTGTTCCCAGTGTTCAAAGAAGTCGTGTGCGGATGGTATCACTAAAGACATTTCCCTGTCGGCGCCAATCTGCGTGCCTTGTCTGTGCAATGTACCTTACAGTCCATGTGCCCTGCACTATTATAAGGTATGGATTTACCTTGTGCTGATCATGTCTCTTTGCTCTCAAAGCTAACAATGATCATCAGATTTCAAGTCTACCGTGACCCATGTCTTCTGTAGATATGTTCAAATCTGCTGAAATGTACACTAAAACAAGTCTTATCTAATAGAAATTGGGGATGTCTGTGATGAGTTTTTATTAACAAACTTTTATGTTGTGCCGACGGACAGGAAAAACTCGTTGGAACTTATTTTGCTCTGATGAAAGGCTTACAAAATGAGTATTGCCTTTAACATTCTTATATATATCAACGAGGTGTGTTTCAAATGGTTTTCTTTACAGAGTCCAAATGCTGCAGTGGCTTGTCCTTCAATTCGTCGAAGCCTGGGGACGACAAAAAGCGCTTGCAAGAAGCCTGATACCGACTCCGTCTTCGTTCGCGTTCCAACACGTGACCCAAGCCTCCGTTCAACCCAGTCTCCGCACCCGAAGAACCCATCGGGGTCTGGTAACAAGTTGAACTTTTTGTCGGTGTATCTACGGCTTATGTCGTTTCTTTGGCCATTTTTCCTGCGTTGATTAGCCATCTTCCCCATCCCCGATTGTAGAAACTGGGGAGAAGTCTTCTATTGCTAAATTGTAAATATTTAATACAGCATCAATGTGTTACAGCTTATTTAGATAAACGTTTTTGTTACAACAGAACTTTGATGTGTCGTTGCAGAAATTGTTAGGATACAGTTTAAGGTCGCCTCGAACGCTGCTGAACATGCTTAGATTAAAATGCTGAGATTAAAGTGTGGATTCATTGGGCAACAATTGCTATCAAATTCTTGCGCAAATCTTTGGCAAAACGTGAGTGCACAAAATACAGACGGCTTCGTAAGCCGTATTTTCTAGTTAAACGCTCATAGTGTCGAAGACAATTTTAGTTTGCTATGCCCAGTTATATTTACTGATTTAAAAAAATACTTCTATGGTCGAGACTCGCTATCTTGTCGAAGATATATTAGGTGAATTTTTCTTTAGCTCATTTTGTCACGATCTTCAAAATTTGACGGTGTATTTTCTGTAAATAAAAGAGATGCTTTTATCTTGAATCATAGGGTCTCACTGATTTGTTTATTGTTATACAACTTGTTTTTTACAGCATCTTCGTTACGTACATCTTTCTTTTAACATGCAACAATCGCCTGGCAAATGAATCAATATGCGAACTCACCTCAATTTTTAGGGAGGATTATGCCCTCCCCCGCCCCTCTGTTTTAGAGCCGTATACGCTGAACACAGCGAAACACAAAAATCCATGCACTCTATGTCCTGCTATTTTATGTAGAAAGGGGATTTTGTTTGGATGGCTAAAATACACTCTCTTCAAACTACTCTTACATGTCGAAAAATATCGTTTTAAAACTATAAACATCCCGGAAAAAGTCAGATCTGTGTTTTTCTTGCAACGTTTTTTCACACAATTCCTTACTGCATGTTAAGATATCTCTCTTAAATTTTAATCTGCGAACTAAATTACACCTAAAATGTGTATAAGAATTAGGATACGTAAAAATTTTTTCGAAATCTGCAGTCAGAATTGTTGTGGAACTAACTTTTTTCTAAAAAGAAAACAAAATACAAAATATGGCACTCTTCCTTAGCTTGACTGTCTTCGTTTTGCAAGTGGCATTAATGATTGAATTGCAGACGTATTTAGATATTGCATCTGCAGTTACCTTTGACTTTTCGGATCAATATCAATATCTGGGCAACTGCCCACCTACCCTCCCCTAACTGTTGTTGGGTTAGGGGAGGGGTAAGTGGGCAGTTGCCCAGATACTGATATTGATCCGACTTTTCTCTTAATTGGAATTGCTTTTGATTGTAAAAGATATTGAAGGATATATTTGGTGTGGAGATATGGCGACAATTAACGATATTTAACCGTATTCATGTTTAGAATTGAGAGGAGGAAAAACCAAAATTAGTATCTGCAACACCTGCTAATAGGTGTCAGACAGATTCGTTATGTCTGTGATTTACCATAGTTTACATTTCTTCTTGGGATTCATTCTTCGACCAGCGGAACACTTGAATGCTTCGGAGAATTCCTCCATATTTGACAACGAGCCGATAATCCTGAAGAAAACGGCAACGAAAATATGAAAAGGTGAGCAACAAACTGAGAAGACGAATGCACTCATCAGGGCTCCTGAGTGAATTAGACTGGAACTAGTAAACTAGAGAAAAATGTCCACACAGAGGCAAGATTGTAACAAACCGTCAAAAAACCGACGTTTAACAAACCACATGAAAATCAGCGTGGATCTAACTGAAATCAACGCAGCTTGAATTAAATTTCGAGAACATATCGTGGTTCAACCCTATTCTTGGTTTGATTTTTATTTTCCTTTGGCTTTTTTAAAGACGTCGAAATATGGTGAAAATTGGACGTCAGCTTCTATACGTCATTTAAAATATCAGAAGAACCATTCGAGGCAAAAAGGGCTTATGATCTTAGATATATAAGAGGTGGATCCAGGGAGGAGAAGGGGTCCCCACTTCCATTCACAGAATTTCTTGTACGTCTTACCTGTAGCGTGGTATTGAGTGCACGCTTGCTTTTGTGAAGCGGAAGGCCGCTGATGGAGTCATGGCAGCACAAAATGCCTAAACAATGCAAAACCCATTGTGAGTAACGGCAAAGCTTTAACCAAAATTCAGTTATATAAACCTTTCACTTCATTGTAATCCTCCCTTCTGTCTGCCACATAATTCCTATGATGTAAGCTCAGAGAATTTGATATTGGAATAACTAATTATGCCCTACTCGATAATTCTCTGTTCTCATCACCAGTCTATTTGATATTCTATTGATATTGTAAGGAGAAATTATGTCTTGGGAACTCAAGAGGGAGCAAGAGTTAGCTCTATTCATTGAACCTCCAGCCCTTAGGATAGGTTACATTACATCGTCTGGAGGTCACTGACTAACTGACTTCCTAGGTGCTTCGTCATATGTCCTTCTACCCAAAAAGCAAAGTTGTCCGTAGTAAAACGCACGAGAATTCCTTGTTTTAACTATTTTAATCTCCTCTGCAAGGAGGAGAAAAATGAGATTAAAACAATTAGCTCAATTAAAAACGGAATTCAAGGTTCTGCCCTACCTACTCAGCTCCTCATCTGACTTAACTACAAGCCTCCCCCATCTCACCCACTCCTCACCTGACTAAAGCTCACAAATAAGAGCTGCTCGTGAGTCATCTGCAGGCCAGGCAACTGAGGTTCGGGAGCATTGTTCTTAAGCCAATCCTTATATCCCTGTATATAAGATTCATAAACAAGTTAAAGTGTTATGAATGATAACTAGCATATAGATTGTTACCAAAAAAAGAAATTACAAAATCGCTTTACATAAACATAGATACTGAAAAAAATTAAATAGATACATCGTATTCAAAATGGTTTGACACAAGTTGTTCTTCCGGGAGCTGATCTCTACCTTGCACCCCCAGCATCTTCTAACACCACTTGACTACTGCTAGTTCTCAGAACAATCAAGAGTGAGTGAGACAGTCATAGATGAAATAGCTTGATTTTATAGAGGTGAAATGTGGTGTGATGTGTTAGACTTACCAAATAAGCCATACGAATGCCACCGTTGTCTGCAATGTTTTCACTCAAAGTCAGTTCACCATTCAACTGGATCAATTCAGATAAAAAAGTAAGAGCTTGAA